CCCCCCCCCTTGGCCTCAAGTTTCTTAATTAAGTTTTGTTTTTTTTTGTGTGTGAGGGCATTCACGATAAGATCTAATCAGTGCCTTCTTGATCATAACTTAACCAGGCCCAGCAGGTCTTTCTGGGGAAGCTCTCCGGACGCGCCTCGCAACTGGCGAAAGGAAGCCTCACGATCCTCGCGATTCGCCTCCGCAGAGAAGTGTGGCTTGGTTAGGGGGATCCTTTTTGTAGCGGAAGACGGTGGTAGGGGCTGATGTCCACATGAAGTGGCATCAGGATGATCGTGCAAGTTCGATTCCACTTGGATTGACACAAGTATATTCTAATTCTAGCATTTGTCCAACACAGTTGGCGGAGAGATTTTGCTTTATGTTCTCTTCCAGCTCTTACCGCGAGAGCATTGCGCGGGCCTAGCTGCCGGCCAAGGCCAGCAAGGAGCCCATGAACTCTGCAAAGGAGCAAGAGGCCTACTTTGCCCCATACGAATCTTCAAGGGTGGCAAAGGGATTTGATGCAAGTCTTAGGTCTTGGGGTTTGTTATCACTAATTGTGGCTTCGGAACTCGTGTTTTAGTTTTGCCTTGGTCTTGTAGGTTGGCCAGGTCGGCAAATCAAGTTTCGTGCTGCCTCGGTTATGCTCAAGCATACAGGCAGCACATTCATCGTCAAATGTCCACCAACCCTGCCCACTCTCTCCTACTTGCTCGACTGAGATACAACATATATAGAAACAATGTAGAGACATACCAGGTGGTTTTTGGACACCTCCAGACACCTCTAAGAGGCTATTTACAGACACCTCTTGGAAGGTCCTGGTATATAAGTCGCTTGTTTTGTCCCAATCTTTTGCCGGGTGAGCACACCTTCCCTGGTGCTGGGACCAGGTGGAAGATCTCACGACTCCTCCACCGCGGGCGAAGAGCACGGCCCCGGCCAGCGAAAAGAAGCCGAAGGCACCGGGGCCTGGGGGCGACGAGGGAGCGCGAGAGCGCTGCGGAGGGCTTCTGCTGGGTTTCTATCTATCGCCTGCTTTGGGCTTTGGCTTTTTCACCGGCTGGAATTGGTCTTCATGTTAGCTTCTTATTATTTGCCTCTCTCTCTCTCTCTCATCAACTTGGTAGGCCACCAAGCGGCGCTTAAGCAGTCCAGAGCCCAGATTGGCAGCTGCCACGACGTTGATGTGGCCGATGACTTGCTTGGAGGGCAAATCAGCTCGAAGTCGGGGTCACAACTTCTGATTCTGGAACCCAACCTAGCTGGCAAGTGCAGCCATCACCTCCATTGCCCCTAGTAACCGCTGCCTTTAGGCCAAGAAGCAGTGCCTCCGCAGCTGGAGGAGGTGGATCGGTGTGTTTGTTTTTGGTTGTCGCGTGAACTTCGGCATTGGATTTGAGGTGATTTGAGACCGAGTGCAAGATGTCAATAAGTTTGGCAAAAGGGATCTTTCTACTTTCTAGTGCTGCGTCAGCCAGCAGATCTTTGTGGTGTTGGCTGGACTTTGCATGTTTATTTTTATTTTTGGTGCTGGCTTCCTTATGAGAAAATCACAGTCACCATTCCGATCACTTGTTTCTATTTGCCTGATATGTCAGTCAGATGCGGTACAGCCGTCCCAACATGTTCAACCAACGATACAGGCATCAGGCATGCGGCATGCGGCTCTTTGTTTCTGATCCCAGAATCTGAAGTCGATTCCAAATTATATAGCTTCTGCTGAAAGCAGTCAAACACATTCAAATACATTCAAAACAGCAGTTTGGTCCGAAAAAAGGATAAATTCACCCATGCCTTTTACTACTGGGGTTCTCAGGCCCCAGGTCGACTCTGCAGCATTTTGGCTTTCTCAGGCGGTGAAGGAGACGGCAACGACCGTGGAGACCGCGGCAATGACCGAGCTCTTGGGGAAGAACCAATCAGGCGTGATCGATGCACGAGCTGCTAGAGACAATGGTACTGAGAATGGTGTATATATGATACGTAGTAGCTAGCAGCTAGCAACTACGGCGTTACGGTTATGAACATATTTTGCCGCAAGAGCTTGCCAAAGCAAAACTATTCCAGGAGATGTGCACAATGTAGACTAGTCTTCCCCCCAAAAAATCATGTGCCACCCCACCAGTGCACCCGACAAGGGTCATGTAGCAACCCCCGTGGCCCCTCATTCAATGGAGGACTGCAAGAAAATGGCACACCCAGCGGGTCAGGATTTTGTCTTATCATATCAACAGTACGACCTGCGAAAGTGTGACTCCTACCTCAGTCAGGCAGATCTAGATTGATAGTTTAGTTCATTGTCTTGTGTGTGTGTGTCCCATGACCTGTAACAGTCAATAAGATTATATCACTATTTTTGAGAAAGGCCTTTACTAACCATCATCATCCACTGTTTCAGGGAATGGGATACACCCTTGATGTTCATTGTCCTTCTTCCAAGATGAGGGGGGTCTGTTTAACATCGCACGTCCACCTCCACTTATGCTGCCGCCCAGGTGAAGCAGCGTCGGCCCAGCCCAAGCCCAAGCCCAAGCCAGCCAAGGCGACCTGAGTCAACGGCGCCAATTCAGCGTGGAGCTGGAAGACTTACCTGAACTGGAATCCATTAACAATGTGTATTGAACACATCCTTTGGATGGTTTTCCTGTTTCTTGTCCATGTTGGATGCTAGGGTTTGCTTTTTTGGAGGCACCACGGCACAGCACCACGCATCCTTTGCCGTGTCATTTTTTCACCTTTTCGCCGTACCCTCGGCCGCACCGGCGCGTGCAGGGCGCCAAGTCCAAGTCCGAGAAGATAGGCGGTGCAGTCTGAGTTGGAAGAACTCATCCAGTGAAGTTATGACCAATGACGGTGACTGAGCCTTGAGGGTGCAAATTCTGCCGACAAAATTGCGCTGTTTCACGATGAAATCCGAAGTTTGAAGACGAGTGTTTATGCAAACGCTACCCTGGATGCCCTAGAACGTTGTAGGACCATGGCAGCTCGGTTGCGGGGATGCTGAAATCATCTGAAGCTGAAATCATCTGAAATCGACCTCCGCTGGCAGACTAAACCCCACGTCAACTTAACTTTGGGCTGCTTGTTTATTCACTCCGCGGCTCATGTTTGGGCTGAAAAATGGCAGCCATGCGCGAGGCCGCTGCAGGATGGCAACTAGTAACTAGTATTTGTTTAGGCGCACCTCTTCTGTTTAACAGCTCTTCAACTTTTTTTAGTGTAATTGCTTGAAATATCCTGATTGTATATTTATGCAGTTAGCATTCTGAGGCCAAGGGCCAAGGATTTGGGCGTTTGCCACCTCTTTCCCACCAAGCAGCCATGGGCATTATGGCCACAAAGGAACCCATGAAAATCCGTGTGAGGCAGCTCAATGGAAAGGTAGATGAAGTTGAAGTGCTGCCGGATCCGAAGCCATATCATTAGTCGTGGTAATTGTTATGTTCTAAGTCAGTAAAGTCATAGTCAGTTGATATGTTCTTCCAGATCGTCGTGTTGCAAACTCTATTGTGTATTTGGTTGCCGGTTGTGGATCCTTCTTTGTCACTAGTCACTAGGCACTCCAAATATAAACCAAACTGCCAGCAGTCATAAAAGGAACAGAAACTTTGTCAGTGTTCTTCAACATTTGAGGACATCACCGTCCAGCAGTTCAAACAGCTCCTGAGAGATTTGCAGCCTGATGTTTTCCGCCGGAAATTGTGTCAAGTGGAGGTGGTCTTCGGGCAGACACGGCTGACCAATGATGATGAGGAGCAACTGCTTAAAGTCATGAATCTTGAAGCTGGTGCAGAGGTTGGAATGATTAAGGAATGCACAAGACCTCTTCAGAACAAAGTTGTTTTTTTGTTGTTCTGTTGTTCATTGTGCTTGTTGTTATTTATGTTCTTGCTTCTTGCTGTTTGCGGTGGTTGCTTTTTCACGTCTGTTGACAACTAGGCACGTACACAACCTCCATGTCAGTGTTTAAGCGGCTCGAGGGTTCTTCATTGTCTCCCAAGAGCTTGGCAGGTGCAGGTCCTCTTCAGCGCCATCAAACCGGTTCAAACTGAAAGGCGACAACATCGTTTCATGGATCTGGTCTTTGTGAAGATCCCCAGCTCCGTCGCTAGGATCCAGGATGATGCCTTTGCTGATTGCAGAAACTTGGTAAAAGTAGATATTCCCAACACAGTGACACACATTGGAAGGAATGCCTTCATGAACTGCAGTTCGCTCGAGTTGTTGACTTTGCCTGATTCAATGATTTGCATTGGAGATGGTGCCTTTGACCACTGTAGCTCATTGGCAGAGTTGACGGTCCCTGGTGCTCTGACAGAGATTGGGCGCTGTGCGTTTCAGAACTGCATGGCTCTCACTGAAGTGAAAATGGCTGAAGCAACAGTTCCGAACTCTGTAACAAACATTGGCGCTTTCGCCTTCCGGAACTGCCGTTCATTGAAGAAATTGACCATTTCCGACTCTGTGACTTCCATAGGCGATTGTGCCTTCCGGAGTTGCAGTGCGCTGACAGAAGTGAGGATTCCCAGTTCTGTGTCTTTGATAGGACAAAGTGCGTTTCGGGATTGTGGTGAATTGAGAGAAGTGATACTTCCCACTTCGGCTTTAATCGGAGCTTGTGCCTTCAAAGGCTGCCACTCCCTGCAAGAAACTGCACTTCCAGATGTGATGAGAAAGCTCAAGGAGGGCGCCTTCGTAGCCACAAAGAAAATCCTTGTGGGGCAGCTCAATGGAAGGGTGGATGAAGTTGAAGTGCTGCCGGATCCAAAGCTTCTTAGCCAGAATAGTCAGTTGATCTTTCCTCCCAGACCAACGTGAGGCAAACTCCACTGTGTAGTTGGTTGCCGGTCAAGACCAGTTTAACTTACCGTGTTGTCCATCCTTTTTTGTCACTAGTATAGCCACTTGGTACTCCAAATAAAAACAAACTGCCAGCAGTCATCAAAGGAACATGAAACATTTTGTTTTCTTCAGCATGCTTGAGGACATCTCCGTCCACCAGTTCAAACAGCTGCTGAAAGATTTGCAGCCTGATGTTTTCCGCCGGAAATTGTGTCAAGTGGAGGTGGTCTTCGGGCAGACACGGCTGACCAATGATGATGAGGAGCAACTGCTTGAGGTCATGAATCTTGAAGCTGGTGCAGAGGTTGGATTTAAGGAATTGACCTCTTCAGAAAATGTTTTTTGTTGTTGTGATCTCTTTCTTTACTTTTACAGGTTATCATTAGTGTTATGCCTTTGAATCAATAGGCGCTTCTTCACACTTCTGTTTTGTTGTTGCAGGTGCTTCTTGCTGCTTTTGTGGTTGCTGATGCTGGTTTTGTAGTTGCTGCTGTTTGTCCTCATCAGCAAAGACCAACACAAGTGTCCAGCACAATAGCCACTGTTACAAGCCTTGCAACTCTAGGGGTCATGGTCAGCTATATGGTTAAAGGTTCGTAGATGGGTGTTTTGGGGGGGAGGGTCAAAAGACAACCAGGGTGCTCCAGTCTTTGCTTCTAGAAGGGGCAGAGACAACAACGGCTGCTTGCTGGTAGCAGTAGCAGTAGTAGTAGTAGTACTAGTACTAGTACTAGTAGTAGTAGTAGTAGTAGAAGTAGTAGTAGTAGTAGCAGCAGCAGCAGGGCTTTTCTTACTTGTTGCTACCACTACCGCGATGTGCGATCACTACTAGCACTACTTGAAGTACTATATATATAATACTAGCCGCAAAGCCAACAGCAACAACTTTTACTACTACTATATGTGGTGATTTTTTGGTTTGATTAGTAATTACTTGGCTTTGGTGTTAGATATTGTTTTTTGCTTGACTTTTTCTTGTCCTTGTCGTATATGTTGTGCTGATTGTGTTGCTGCTGTTGTGTTGTTTGTTCTTGTTATACATATAATATATATATATACATTGCGTTTGTTGTTATTGTTATTGTTGTGTGGTGGTTGCCTTTCTCACAACCTCCATGTCAGTTCTTAAGCGGCTCAAGGGTTCTTCATTGTCTCCCAAGAGCTTGGCAGGTGCAGGTCCTCTTCAGCGCCATCAAACCGGTTCAAACTGAAAGGCGACAACATCGTTTCATGGATCTGGTCTTTGTGAAGATCCCCAGCTCCGTCGCTAGGATCCAGGATGATGCCTTTGCTGATTGCAGAAACTTGGTAAAAGTAGATATTCCCAACACAGTGACACACATTGGAAGGAATGCCTTCATGAACTGCAGTTCGCTCGAGTTGTTGACTTTGCCCGATTCAATGATTTGCATTGGAGATGGTGCCTTTGACCACTGTAGCTCATTGACAGAGTTGACGGTCCCTGGTGCTCTGACAGAGATTGGGTGCGGTGCCTTCCGAAACTGCATAGCACTAGCCGCTAGCCGAAGTGAAAATGGCTGAATGGCTGAAGTGACAGCTCCGAGCTCTGTAACAAACCTTGGCGCTTTATCCTTCCAGAACTGCAGTTCATTAATAAACAGCAGTTGACGATGCCCAACGCTGCGGTTCGGATTGAGCAAGGGGCCTTCAAGAACTGCAGATCATTGGCAGAGGTGAAGTTGGGCTTTGCTGGCATTGCGTGCAATGCCTTCGAAGACTGCATTTGGTTGACATTGCGTAAATTGATGGTTCCCACATTTGTGACTCACATTGAAGACTGTGCCTTCACGAACTGCGCATTCTTGACAGAGCTGACTATCCCTACCTCTGTGGCATCCGTTGGAAAGCATGCCTTTAGCGGCGGCAGTAGCTTGAGAGAAGTGAGGATTCCGAACTCTGTGACTTTCATAGGAGAGCATGCTTTCAAGGGCTGCCACTCCTTGCAAGAAATTGTGCTTCCAGAACCGATCAGGAAACTCCATTGGGGAATCTTCCAAGGCTGCGCGGCATTAGCTGAGGTGAACATTCCGAATTCTGTGACTAACATTGGAACTTTTGCCTTTGCCGACTGCGGGAAGCTGGCAGGATTAACTTTTCCCAGCTCTCTAGTCTCTAGTCCTTATCGGAGAAAATGCCTTCAAAAACTGCAGTTGCTTTGGGAGTTGAGCATTCCCAAAGCTGTTAGTTGCCAAATTAAAAAGTATATCGGTTGGGATGGGACCGTTTTCTCCACAATACTTGTTTGGAGCTCCCCTGAGCCATGACCAGGGCAACCGCCTTGCTCACCAGGCACCGGGAATCCTCAAGAGCCTCTCATGAAGAAGCCTGGTAAGGTGCCGAAAGAGCCTCGGCTAGTTGAAACTGCTGGGCTTGCTATGGGTCGGTTTTCCGGGGAGGGGTTCATGGCACTGTCCTTCGATTTCGACATGAGCGAAGCGCTAAGGCAGCGAAGGCCAAGAAGAAAGACCAGAAAGGCGCTCAGTATCGACGCCATGCCGTGCTCCGAATGGAGGTGTGAGAGCATTGGTGATTTGAATGGACAACTCCGTGACAACTGCCTCTGAGGCACGACTAGCGGTGCAACATGGTGCAACTAGCGGTGTCAACAGTCCATGGCATGTCTCAATTGTTACTTGGAGTATCTTGGAGTCTTAAATTTAGGGGTATGCAATGCAATGGAATAGTTTTAGTTATTTGTACTCTATATGAGTCTATATGGAGGGCTCCCTGTGGGATTGGGTAAGGCTTTGCACAAGTGGAGAGCTCGCTTATCAGTTTGGGTCATTGGATGTCGTTCTATTGCAGCGCGGCCAATGCCAATGGGGACATGTGGAAAGGCTAGCTTTGGGGGATGCCGCTCACTATGCTCGCTCGTGCACCCGGTTACTGTAGATATTTGAGTCTATATATTGGGAGCCTTCTAACCAGGTTGGGGAGTGTCCACTTGGGCGAGTTCCAACAGCACGCCTGTTGTTTGTTTGCCTGTTTGATTTGTCAACTGTCAACATACTACCCTTAACCTTAAACATCCTTAAACACAAGCTCTCCCAAGGGAGAAGGCTTGCTGACTGACCAACTGTACCTCAAGCCCCTGCACGCCAACACTGAAATGGGTACTTGTACAGTACAATTGGATGTTCATTTATGTTCATCCTGTACCAACAGGTTCATGCTCCGCACTCAGATGTACATGCGAATCCGTGTGCCCAGTCTGATAGGTGCAGATCAGACTGATCAGACGGAGGCACCCGAGGGTGAGGCGATCAAGCAGGAGCAGAGGCGGAGTGGCAGACTGTGTGGCGGACCGGAGGGTCCACAGTTCGAGAGGGCCAAGAGGGATTCAGCGTTGAGAATTGTATCTAGTAGGGGATTCTGTGTTGAGAAGCCCGTGAGAGTTATGGTGTTTATTCAGATCCCTTATGCCAAACAACAAGTGCGATGTGTGTGTTGCTCAGGCGGGAGGGTTTTCCACTGTTTTCCGCATTGCCTCACATTGTGTTACAGTTGCAGTGTGTGTGTGTGTGAACATTCATCACTATAGTTGCAGGATGTAGGAATGTGGCCCTGATTTCATCATCAATGTGGTGTAAGGTTTAAGGGATGGCCCATTCTCGATGGTGTGGGTTTGCTGGCATCCACGTCCCTGAGGCCAACGCCACACCATTGCCCAAAATTACAAAGATTTTGGTCCTTCTTTTTCTTATTTTTCAAAGTGCATGTTATGAATCCTTCAGGCTGGAGTTTGAGGTCACAACTACAGTTCCCTTAGGACCAGAAAGAAAGTCACGGAAAGACATCCATCCAAACATATCCAAACGGTCATGGCCATTCGGCATCAGAGCGTCCAGTTGGTGCTTGTCCCTCCATCAGGCCTACTTCAGCACCTGCTGCAGCTGCGGTGGTTGCAGCTGAGGTGCATCCAACCACTGCGATCAGAGGGAAGGGATCGCTGGATTGATTTCGAAAAGCTTTTTTTGTTCATCGCCTCCCCTGTATATCATGCAAGATTGCTGTCAAAGATCCCGAGTCGACTTTGCAATCCACGTGATTCTTGAAAAGACCAGCACCGTCGATGCTTTGGGCCGGGACGGCTGCTGAAACTTGACTCTGAGTGTTCTCAGGGATGGGGTCGTGCACTGGGACACTGGGACCTGCTTCACAGGTTGAACAACGCGGTCTTCGTATGTCTTCGTGGAGACTCCATGAATGAAATCAATAAGGGTCTTCATCAATTAGTCGATGAATAATGACATTTTCCGGACCCACGGCCCATGGCCCCCGCCGCCTATTCAAGAATACTCTCCAATAGCAGCTGTGAGTTGAAGGTTGAAGCGATGTGTCGCCACAACACCACCCAGAAGGCATTTCAGCCGATCTATTTTGGAATGCTCGGAATTTGGAGTTCATTCAACTGACACATCAGCGCCGTGGTCCTGAAAAAAAAACTATTGTTCAGAAGCGCCAAGGCCTTGCAGCACCAGACTTTTAGACCAGAACTGCATTAGAATGTCATGTCCAGCTTGGACAGACTTGCCTAACACGAAAAGGTGCGGGTAACTTTAAATCACTAAAATGCGCAGACCATTACAAACCGCCCGGCATCATACCGGGCCGTTGTGCCTTTTTCGCGGCGAAGGTGCCAAAGGTGAAGCCCATCCGCTTGCTCTTGAAATGCGCCAGCAGTTCAGGCCTCATGTGAGTGGTCATTTATGGGTTTGCAGGTGCTAGGTGATGGGCAGGGCCGGCTGTGGAGGTAGACAGTTCATGAATCTCTCTTCAGGCTGACTGGGGTCCTGGTCCAGGAATTCTATTTCCCATGGAGCTGAGCCAAAACTCAGACAACATGATGCGTGCTTGGTCAATTTGTTGCTACAGAAACGGGGTAGGCTACCGGCTAGACGGAAGGCTGTCCTGTCAGGTCAACAAAAAAGGTCTACAGAAACGGACAGAATCGCATCATATCCAGCAAAACAGGGACCATTTATACATTGCACCCACCTTCGCAGCCGCTGGCGGATGGTAGGCGGGCAACAGGACGGACCTCCAGCGACCAGTTCTGAGGCCTTTGTGGTGGGAGTGGTCGGGCTGGAGCGGCGTAGCGGTGTGGAATGGGTACATTTTGGCAGGTCCATGTACCAAGCAATCCTACAGTTCAGGATCTGAGCCACACCTTTGACGCAAGCTTGGCAAGCTTGCAGCTTGAGGATCGACAGTTCCTTCTGTTCTATGGCATCGGCGGAAGTTAACGAAAGGAGTTGTTGGCAGCGGGATATGTTTTCCGTCTTGCCAGGAATATTCAAAAATCTCAAAACGGAACTGAATTCCAAGATAAATTAAGAATGCCGCCTAAGTCTTTTTTCAGTTCAGCATATCTCTTCAAAGCTTACCGTTCCTGTATGCTCTTTGGCAAGCAATTTGGGCCAGTCGTCAAGCAGCTGCCCTGCCCAGCAGCTGCAGAGTCAGGAGTTAATTACTCTTGTTCCTTGAGCCCTTCTTGTTGAGAATTCATTGATGGATTTCATGTGAGATCGCTGTGCCCAGAAAAATAATACATCCGGGGAAACCTGGTCTCTTGGCCCACGAAGCAGAGACGACCAGGGAAGCAGAAAAAGTATATATATATATATCACAATCATATGAACATCTTAAGAAAACATCATAGCTGTAGATGTAGAAGTCTTCTTCATCGATCTTGCAGGCAAGGTCCCACCATATCATTCTAGTTCTTGGGAGTGCCAGGCCCTGCTGCGACAGAAGGATTTCCAGCCCCCATGTCGCGGGTATGAGTCAAAGCAAGGAACTTGCCTACTAGCGATAAAGGTGTCAATTCTATTCAACTGTACTTGAAAAGTTTATGGCCTCGCAGTGTCATTGCCCGAAAATGACATAGGATCCAACATCTAGACCACATGTACTCACCACCGGTCACCTCATCACCTCATCTCAAAAACAACACATGTTCTACACTGTCTACTTGTCTTTTGGTTCAGCCAGCCCCCCAACCCTACGCCACTTGGAGGCCCCAAAGGGGGGCGAAGCAAGTCTCCTGTTCCGCCGGTTCGACCCCAGCGAGGCAGCAACCCGGATGGATGTCGTGGACCTCAACGAGTCGAGGTGGGAGGAAGAGATGCCATCGAGATGGGCAGACTCGTGGTCCATCCATTCAGGCGTTAGACAAGTTAGACAAGTCTGTATTTTTGCCCTAGGAGTTCTATGATATCACGATCCACATCAGCTCCAGGAAGACTTCAAACAGGGTTGATGCTGTAGAAAGAGGAATGTGATGGCCATGAAACCCCCTTTGTATGACCCCTTGGGGCATCTTGCGGCCACATCTGCTTTTGGTGAGCTCAAGGCCGCAGCCTTCGGAGCGGCCGAAGTGGAAGAAGCTCTTGCAGAGAGGCCGGCATGAGATGCGGTTTTCAGGAGTTGGAATCGCTTGGTTGGTCCAATTTATCAGGACCATGGAACTCCAAACTCAATCAGAAGTAGGATCGAGCTTCCTTCCTTCGGTTGTTGGGTCGCCTGACTCCCTGCGCGATCCGATCCGATCCCACCGACTGAGGCAAGGGCGGTCAAAGGTTGGATGTCCAGCGCTCAGTGCGTCCATTCGCCCGACCTGCGCGTGCATGACCGGTGCCACGGTCATCAGGTAGATGCAGAGGAGGCAAAGAAAGACCCTCCGAGACTTGGCGGTCAAGTGAGCAATGGGAGCTGGTTTGGCTTTGGCCAATTCTGTATATTCGGTATATTGCATTGGCATGCGAAAAGTCAGAAATACATCAGTCAAATGGAAGACCACGTTAGACGACACAGGTTTGAACCTCCGTGCAGTGACAACCTTTGCAACACTGCGATCACAGGAAGTCCTGGCTACTCATGCTGAATGTGAGGTTGATGACTAGCTGTTGCTGGTTCTTTCGGAGGTTCCTTGCTGGGTAGATCCACCTGTTGCTGTAAGATGGTGAGGAAATGAAGTATAGACGTGTGTGTGTGTGTGTGTGGCAGTTCCCGCCAAAGGCTATTCAAAGGCCTTTGTCCCATGCTCATGAATAGCAATTTTTCACAGCACTGTGTGCTTCCACTGGCTTCAGGAGGATCAAGATCAGGTTTCCACCTCCGCCCAGCGCCAGCCTCAGCGCGGGTGTTTCTGGGAGTCGGCTTGGTATCAGAGCACCGCAGACAAGGCGGGAGAGGCACAGGGGCATGGTGTGGCCGCCCTGCCAGAAGGTCAGATATGGACCGGATTTGAAACATGATGCCATGGACCGCAGACATGGATCGATCTCAAACTCCTGGTCGAGTTCCCAAGAAGTTGGTTTGCACCATAATTACTGTGTGCTTGACTCTCAGGCAAGAGAAAAACTCCAGAAGAAGATGGCCAACAGCCTGTGCAGAGCAAGGCCGAGAAGGGATGTTGAGAAAATCGAGTCTAATGTGATGTAGATGGTGAGATGGCCGCGTGCCAACATGCAAAAATAACTTAGAATTTGTCATGCTGCTTCAAAGGGCACGAAAGGAGGAAATGCTTCCATTCAAGTGACGGAGCTGCTGTGCCCTTCCCTAAACTGGCATAGCATCCACATGGAACAGGAACATCATGTTCAAACCCTTGTATGGGTTGTTAAGTTATATACTTTGGGAGGGTACTGGTTTTACAGTAGTTTCGAAGTACGATTGGTTCCTACCTTGTTAAATTTGATCTTACACAACTACCACGCCGGGGAGACTTTCGCATGGAGCAACCCTGACATCGAACATCAGCCAACCTCTTCAGACGATTGGAGAGTTTGAGGGCACCTCGAGCAAGAGCTCAAGACGGTTGTAGTTGAAGTCTTGCAGCGAAGCAATTAACCCCCGGAGCTCTGTACAGGAATAGGTTTGTTGTGGCTGCCTTGTTGACAAACTAGCGACTAGACCATCAGAGTTTAGACTAGCGGATCCCCAAATAATTCACCAATGGCCAAACAAGAACATGTTACTGTTTGCCTTGCCAATGTACCCAGGGCACTTGCAAAACCAGAGCCCGCTCAATTTCTGAAGAGTGGGGCCATGATGGTTGCTGTAAAAGCTCAAGTCTCTCTCTCAGATTCGGTGGCCACTGGTTGCTGCACTCTGCGGGGCTAACCTCCACGCCGATCATTTTTGTGCCCAGGCGCCCGAGGCTGACCAGGACCCGGCCAAGCCGGCACCAAAGGGCCTGGCGCGGTTGGGGTTTCATCCGTCCGGGTGGCCCAGTCGACTGGGTAGGGACACATCTCTGCATATGAAGCGATGTCTATCCGCGATGATGTGTGTTAATTGAAAAAGTATAGAGACATGTTTGGGTGCTTGTGGGGAGGGCAGAGCTTTCAGGTGATCAAGTGACTCCTCTCGTGCGATCCAGCCAAGGATTCCCAAGGAGGCACCGAAGGAGAAGGACTTACCGCCAGTGGAAGCAGTGGAAGTCTCTGAAGTGAATGGCCTCAGTGGATGCATCGACCGTGGCGATTTTCAGGCTCGGTGTTCCATTGATTATTGACATTGAATGCCCAAATCAATCACATCAAACCGGGAAGATCATTATCAACCCTTTCGTGGGTTGTTAGTTTGGGGGTAGGCTAATGGCTCTACATTCTACAGCTTAGGTTGTATGATGTGAATCTTTGTATAGGCTTTTATGGCTTTTCAGATCGAAATAGATCGGCCACAAGTAAGTACCTCGCACGAGCAAAGCCTTTCGCATGTCCCTTGTTCGAAGCCACACATCATCACACATCTTTCTTGCATCGAAGAGTTTTAGGGCGCCTGTAACGGTTGGAGCTCAAGACGATTGGAGTCGAAGCCTTGTAACGAGGCAATTGACTTACATATAGAATTGTGGCCACTGCTTTGTCAAGGAATTGGAGGTTTGTTGTGGCCTTGGTGGTCAACTAGGCCGTCAGAGTTTAGATCCAAAAAGAGGAGCCCCGATTCATCCATGTTTACTCCTTCCTTTGCTCTTGTTTTATGCTTGAGTCAGTCCTGATCAATTATAGGGGCACTTGCAAACAAACAGATTGCCCTCGACCTTTCACGAGAGGTTTCTGTAAAAGCTTAAGTCTCAGCCTCTCTCTCTCTCTCTATATATTCGGTGGCCACTGGTTGCTGCACTCTGTGTGGGCTAACCTCCACGCCGATCATTTTTGTGCCCAGGCGCCCGAGGCTGACCAGGACCCGGCCAAGCCGGCACCAAAGGGCCTGGCACGGTTGGGGTTTCATCCGTCCGGGTGGCCCAGTCGACTGGGTAGAGACACATCTCTGCATATGAAGCGATGTCTATCCGCGATGATGTGTGTTAATTGAAAAAGTATAGAGACATGTTTGGGTGCTTGTGGGGAGGGCAGAGCTTTCAGGTGATCAAGTGACTCCTCTCGTGCGATCCAGCCAAGGATTCCCAAGGAGGCACCGAAGGAGAAGGACTTACCGCCAGTGGAAGCAGTGGAAGTCTCTGAAGTGAATGGCCTCAGTGGATGCATCGACCGTGGCGATTTTCAGGCTCGGTGTTCCATTGATTATTGACATTGAACACCCAAATCATGTCTAATCACCCCATGTTGGATTGTGAAGAGTCCAGAGGTTTCTCACTGGTGTGCAACCTCCTGAACATCAAAAGAATCAGTCCAACCGTCACACACCGGCAGTAAACTCTGGGTCCGTTTCATTGCAGTTCCCATCCAGCCACTGGCCGCTGATCCCGGTGCAACACCCCCTTCCTGGAGCAAACCAGCCCCGGTTCCCGGGTTCTCGCCGAGGCTCCGGATGCCACGGACGATGTCGTGGATTTGGTGCGCTGGCTTATCGATGGATATGGCAGATTCAAGCGTTTTTGATGCCCTAATTACACCACACAACCTTCCACACCAACACATGCCTTCCAGACCCTGTCAGGATAATTGAAGGTTCCACCGTTTGTTTCTCTACGCAGCCGCGCGCTGGTTCAGGAAGCCAAAACTCCACGCTTCGACTGGACCGATGGGGGTCGTGGGCTGGACCGAGTCATTTGTTGCGACTGTTGTACGTGTACTATGTACGTGTACTAAGCTTGGTCAGCAAGCTTCCCGGGATCGGAAAACATTATTATTTCAACGATTTATTGCTTTTCTAGATTAATCGATTATGGGTACATATATTAATTAAGTTTAATCAATATGTATAAGATGTGTGTAAGATAGGAGACCTAAGCTAGACTTGATTCAGACGTTTGATGCAATTGCCGCTCCAACGATAAAACTGAACACTCCACCTGGACCACTTGCTGTGCCGCCAGGAAGGCAGGCTTTGCAAAGAACCGGCGCCCTGAGAAGGCGAAAAACAAACGGCTTGAAAGTCATTTCCTTGCGAAGAGCAAACAGGAATAGTTAAAGGGAATTCGGTATGCCATCATGGCCCATTTGGTGGTGTTTACCTCATTCTCATTTACTTAGCTGAACTCAAACAAGCCCACCCCATGTTGATTTAACCCGCACCAATTTCAACCAAAGACACAAGGACTCCCCACGCAGCGCTTCTTGTTTGCTGATTTCAAAGTATCCATTCCCTCATCTTCCCTCAGCGACGGCCGGTGCACTTCCAATGTCCATCGTGAACATGTAGCAAACCACCCGCAGGGCCAGCAGCCAAGCCCCTCCATTCTGGAGGAGATAGAATATGAATATGGTTTGGACGATGACTTCATGCTCTGTTGTTATTCTTCTAATCTGTTCAAGATGACTACAGGTCCACCAGGCCCCCCCCACCATGTGGGCCCCATGTTCATGTCAGGCATTGTCAACTGGCGGGGTGGCCTGGTATTCTCACTGTCCGCAGTGTGTGTGTGTGTGTGTGTTGCTGTTTGACTGCTTGATGCTCATGCAATCATGGGCATTGATCCATGACCTGATGTGAGCCAATACTCTCTAATGATATACAGTACATGAATTTCCACCAGCATGCATGACATCGCTCTTGGATGGGTCCGGGATTTGGCACTATACATCATTATACCATATATATTGTACCAAAGCATGTAAAGGATTTCACGAAGTCGTCACCACCCAATCATGCAAAGAAGAAAATTGGCGGCTCTGTTTTTTGTGCGTGAGGTGACGGGGAGGCACAAAGTCAGGCCGAAGCCGCGTGACTCAATGTGGTTCATGGATTCGTTTTTGATGGAGGAGGAGGAGGAGGAGGGAGGAGGACTCGCATATGGTATTCTACAACGTCCTTTGGAATAAAAAACTCTCCGACTCACTGGCATGGAAGTGGACACTGGAGGTCTCCCGCTGATATCCCTTGATCGTGGAGCAACATGAGTGTGGATGGTTCCATTACTAAAACTCACCTCGGTGGACCGATGGCCTTGAACCTACCAGCTATGGCCTCCACTTGGGGCCCAAGGATTTAATCTTTGACCCTTTGTTATTGTCTTACAGCTACCTCCGGTCCGTCCTCTTCGACCAGGCCCCGCCGGTCACTGAAGTCTTAGAGGTGCCGGACGAGCGTCCGGGCTCTGGTGGGGGGGGTCAGGCTGATGAACGTGATCAATGCAGTAGGAAGGAAGGAAGGAAGGAAGGTGAGAATACATGATTTTCGGAACTGAGGGAGGAGTTGGTAACAGCTACAGAGAGCCCCCCTCTCTCTCTCTCTCGAAGTGTGGGAGCCAAAAAAACACATCGCGAAGACTACCACTCAGTGCAATGTGTCATTATTCTTTGCAACGTGTGTTTGTTTTTTTCCATCACATCAGCGCAGAATCCATTGGACGTGATCACCGGCCTTCGCGATGATCATGGATGTGACTGGATAATATATATATATAGCAGAAGAAACATCAGGATGTGTGTGTAGATACGTATGTTCAGATAAGACGTGCCGCCAACCCTTTAAGCTAAAATGGAAACAGAGACCAGGAAACCTCAGCGGAAGACCGTTTCTGGGCGATCATCGTTCCCACGATTTCGGTTGCCCGGTTCGGTCGCACCAGGTCCTTTTCTCTCCCACCCGGTCGGAGCCACCCGGTCGGAGCACGGCGCCCATTCGCCAGAATACGATGGGTGGTGCACCCACCACCCATCGCCCAAACACGCGGGAAATCGTGTTTCTTCCACACCAAAATCGCACCATATCAAGCCTTGACAGTGTCCACTTGGTTAAAAAAATACAAAACCAGGTGAGACAAGTGCACTAGCCCTGAAGTTGACCTCTAGAACTATATAGAACTATATTTTTCCTGTAAAGGGCCTTTTTGGGGCAGGGGTCATTTGAAATCATGGCTTCGGGCCTTGTGATGTGAGAGGAGTTGACGTCACTGCTCGAATCGCTGAAGCGGTGGCCAAAGGCGACAGCACGACGACACAGCGCCCTCTGACGAAGCAAGGCGAGACGACACGGGGCGATAGTGGTAAGTGGAGTTGTATATGAG